AAAACCTAATCAAATCTGCGCATTGGCCCAGAGCATCTATGCACCAAGTTTCATCAAAAAACCGATGTATGGTTCTTGAGATAGCAGTGGAACAGTCGGACACACATACACACATACACACACACACACACACACACACACACACACACACACACACACACACACACACACACACACACACACACACACACATACAGACACACTAACTGCAAAGACTCCCATTATGTGCTTCGCACAATCGGAGTCAAAAATACCCCGAAAATTACAGAAACACCGGCAACGAGATGCTGTTTTTAAACACCGCAGAAAAATCACGCATTCTGCGATGCCATCTCGGTTACCTTAATCGGAAACCCCCTTGTCAGCTAGCATGCATCTGTAGCGATGTCGCAAAGTATGTTGTATGACCGTGCTCGGCGACCTCTGGTATTATGGCACTCTATGAATGAAGTATTTCCAGAGGTCAGGGTTCGTTTTAATTTTTATCAACCCGTCTCGTCTGCTCGTAGTTGAATGAAACCTGTTTCAATTTACAATAGTTGTCTTCCATTTCGACGTTTTTTATCCCATGGTTTGAACGATTGAGTACAAAAACTGTGAATAGCCATTGTGTAGCGAAATATTACGGCCCACTTTTCAACCTGGCCGTCTAACTTCGCACGATCCATTTCAGCGGAGATCGTGAAAAACTGCGTCATACAGAGTATTTTTTAAAGGTTTGAGGAAGGGTAATTTTAGACTCAACCCACCCAATGGGAATCGCTATGTTTGTATAACTGTATGAATATCTCATTGTGCCCCTCCCTTAGTGGAAAAGATAACACAACGCCATGACAGTTTTCACGCAAGGTTTTGACACCGCGGACGATTTTACGTCCGTTTTCCTGGTATTGTAAATATTTTTATTTTATTTTTTTATCTGACAATTGAACATCATGTATGATGGATTTTTGCATGTCGTCGTGGTGCAATAGCCATTTTTGTGGACGATTAACATCACTTTCATAAAACAGGCATTATCTTCGTTCATGTTTTCTGGTTGGTCAGAGAGATTGAAAATTAATTAGCTCCCACAGTTTTTGTCAGTTTGTCTTGACATTTTCGCACTATTTTGACAACGTCTCTACAAACAAAAGGACGTCTGGGCTTATTTTTAAAGCTTTGCATTCTCGGACAATGACATTCGAAGTGTGAAATACTGACCGGGATTGACTATATGGCACACATCCTGCTTGACAACTTTGTAATATGAAAACAAAACATACTAAATATACGCCTGGACGCCCCTTTGTTAATAAACAACTGATAAACGTTGTTTGAAAGTTCCCCTCAAAATAAACAAGAATTGTGCGAGCTATTTAGATTTGAACTTCCATGGTAAACTGAAAAACACAAGTGGAGATAATAAATGGCTAATTTGCATAACCATTCACTCAGTAAGAAATTTGCTAATGCTCATACCTAAAATGGCTGTAACAGTTCCAAATTTAAATGTATTATCGTTTTGTTAAAAGTTAAATATAGTGCATAATATGGAGATCCCGTCATTTCTTTTTTTCACCATGTTTTTTTTTGATTATTAATGGACAGCCTTGCTAAATCTTGCTAAGCATTCAAAAGAGAGAATGTTTGTACCTGTTATCTATATTTTAAAATCGTCTTTTGAGTATGTTCCACTATTCATAATGCTGCGAAATGTTAACAGTCTATAGCCAAAACTGTTTGAATAATAAAAAGCAAAAAAAAAAGAAAATTCACTCCCAAGTGCCCACGAACCTGCATCTATACTTTAAGCAGCTTCAGTTCTGTGTCAGCTTCAGTATTGTATCAAACATGTTGACTTCTGAGAAAGCCGAGATATCACACTGTCTATTATTTATCTGCTAATTAGATCGATATTAGATTGATAATTATCTTAGGCAGGATAGAACTTGAATAATTACCAAGATATAAGATCAACAGGCTGTAACTGGGGTCAAAGTCAAGATTTATTATTAATTGTCTGAAACTCATACACACTAAAACATAACAAAATAAGACATCTTTTCATTTTAATGTCTCAGTGATTTGACAATCAATGATGCTTTGGAAAAAAATTTCTCGAGTGTTCTACAATTTTGTATAAGAAACATTGTACAAAGACATGAAACTGAGAGAAAAAAACATTTTTTTAAAAACAAAAGTGCAACAATTTTAGTATCAGTCTTAGGCAATATTTTTTTTTGAAAATGCAATTTTTTTAATAAAATGCTTAATTTGTCAAAAGTGATATTTTAATTAGAATATTATGGCCATATTGTTATCTTAAAATATTGCAGCAAGATTTTTAAGAGACAGGATGGTATATTGAGTTGGACAAACAGTATCTCAAATGCAACCCCCAACCCCTCCCTCTTTCCCCCTTCATTAATCTGCAAATATTTATCCATAGACCTTAAAAGACTTTTAAATGTTGACAAAAATCAACAGTTGTTTACCTTTCTGTTTTGTCCACTGGAAGTAATGCTATCATAATAGAACAGTCCTTGGCAGTCATGGCAACCAGAAATTTCTTAATGCTTCTGACATCAACATGGCCGTTCACAACACTATTATCCAGAATACTGGTCACATAGCCTTTCTTGTACTTTCTATCAAGGTTCCATATTTCTCTGAATTAAAATAAAT